TAGTTTTATGTAATATAATATTTAAGTATACTTAATACGATAACATGTTCGTTGTACAAGAAACATAATTTAAAAAATTTAATTAAATTACGATGATCCGGTGGTATAAATTTACCTAATAAATATCGGCGTGCGATTATTTTAAGAAGACTACATAAATCCGGCTATTGATAGGCCTAGTACATGTGTTCCGGCAATTTAATATACATCGTGTTCCGGTGGCAATGATTGTACATCGATCTCGCACTTCTTCATGGATTGTTAGATTTGATCTGAAACGAAAGAGATTGAACTGGTGATAAATACATTCAAGATATATTTCCATTTTGACATCTGTGTTAAGTAACCTCATTAGATTTAAAAACGGAAATTTTAAATACATACATACATAATTCATAATTTCATGAGGTATAGGAATGAAAATTCAGAAAACCGAATTGATTGTTCGATTAATTAAATAATTTAGGATATATATTTGTATAATTATTTAGATACGGACGCTCACCACCGCCCCAACACATAGAAATCGAAAAAGGTTCACATTTTTAAAGACAGTCGAAAATGTTCTGAATATATAATTTGTTATTTTTTGTAATAAAGCTTAAAAGCGCATATTACATTTTTATATTTAATAACCAATCCTCTACAGAAACCCCTGCAATGTCCTACAATATCAAAGCTGCGGTCCGGCCAGCCAGTTGGATATTTACACATATCCACACCCACATATACATATACATAAATATGTGAATACAGTTGTATAGAATATTATTATACTAATTAAAGTCCATTAGCAGTAAACTTCAGTCAATTGTTAATATTCTTCCTACACATCCGTTCGGAACAGTAGAGAAAATCAGATCAGAATGACAAAATAAACTAAGCATCCACTGGAAGGAATCCCAATATATATAGGCCTATAGATACATAGAAAGTATGTATGAACACAGATTTTGAGAATATTAACGGCATTAAGATCACTTTATGTTGTATATCCATGAATTTGTATGCGATTGTTATATGCCTACTTACATTAAAGAGCATTTTATGACCCACCGATCGTTATTACTGTCTGTGATCAGTTGAAATGATTTTACTTAAGTTGAAAGAGTACTGTACTTATATTTACATTGTTAGGTGTGGGTTGCGACCAAAACTATACGGTATGTCATTAACCGAAAGGTCCACTAATCTCACATAAGATACGGTAGTATAATACATACTCCAAGTATCGCCATTAATTATGTCATCATCAGGAATGATGATTACTGATGATGACATAATTAATGTCGAAATATTGAATCCTGACAGGATGGCGTGCATTTCGATAATTAGAGTATGTCATTACACAACGAATCTTTATCTCTGCTATGTTATTACTATTATTTATATTTTCACTCAGATAATCCTGTTTAATATCATTGTTTCTTGCCCAAATTTTAAGGTTTGCTACTTGTAAAATAGTCCACAAAATGAATGAATAGTACTCTCTACAAACCGAGTTTAGAGCACAATCGCTGGTCTACAATAGGTCAACACAACAATGGATACTGCAATTAAATCTTACACTGTAGGCCTGCAGCTTGTAGAACTACAACACGGCATAATGTACATGCTTTACTTACCTATAATATGTAGTTTCCAAACTTAAAAGAAACACCATTCCGAAATTCAATATTTTAGATGTTTTAGGTGACGATCTTTCTACGATATACAGTATTTCACGTACAAGCTCGTTTTCACCGTAATTTGGATGTTATCAGACAGGTGCACAACCAACCAGGTATCTGAAAGAAAATAAAATGCCTCATCATACACTTTATCAGACTGTTGATTTTGCATTGCTTGGGTATGTGTGTCTGTGTGATGCAAAAATATTTGGAAATTATATTAAACAATGAAATTCTTTGGGTTTATATTCCTGTGGGAAACATTCCCCACCCCCGGACATTTCCCCCTGTGATATTTGTCCCTGGACTTTTTCCGATTAGGGCATCTTCGCCTGGACTTTTAGCCCCTCCGATTTACATCTTCTCATATTTAATTTGAATTACTGTATACATTTTAGTTGGCAATACATTTTACTTTTTACTTAGTTTTAGGGAAGTAGGCTGGAGGATGATTGGTAATAGTAAACTAGGGCGGATCCAGGATTTGGCGATAGAAGTGCGTGAGTATCCACACCACCTCAACGCACGATGGTTGGGGGCTGAGGTGAGAACGTTTAGAATTTGGACTTAGGTGCCTGTAAAGTATTTTTATAATGATAAAAATAATATAGCAACAACAACACAACAATAATTTTCTTAATACAATTTAGTGGGGGGGGGGGGTCTGCACTACACCCCACCCCCTGCATGCACCCCACGCAAATACATAAATTGCTATGATTAGAAATGTACGGTAGAGCTTTGGCTTTCAAATTATATTAATATCATTGTTTCTTGCCCAAATTTTAAGGTTTGCTACTCGTAAAATAGTCCACAAAATGAATGAATAGTACTCTCTACAAACCGAGTTTAGAGCACAATCGCTGGTCTACAATAGGTCAACACAACAATGGATACTGCAATTAAATCTTACACTGTAGGCCTGTAGGCTTGTAGAACTACAACACGGCATAATGTACATGCTTTACTTACCTATAATATGTAGTTTCCAAACTTAAAAGAAACACCATTCCGAAATTCAATATTTTAGAAATAATATAGCAACAACAACACAACAATAATTTTCTTAATACAATTTAGTGGGGGGGGGGGGGCGTCTGCACTACACCCCACCCCCTGCATGCACCCCACACAAATACCTAAATTGCTATGATTAGAAATGTACGGTAGAGCTCTGGCTTTCAAATTATATTGTCTGTCTTCCATTACTAAACAGCAGAGATGAAGCTTCTTCGATGAACAGTGAAATTTTCCTTTGTTGTTGCCTACTCTTTCGTTTCTTCTGTTGCTATTATCTTTGTAAGATTTTTATTTTCAGTAATTCATTTCTTTATTATTTAGATACTTTGTTCATAACTAAAAAGATTCGAAAAAAAAAGAAGAAATCATGTAAATCTTGTACTTGGGCATTTGTGCTATTAATATAAGATGATGTAAATCTTGATATGTTCCTTGTATTTAAATTCTTCTTTTTTTATTTAACGCATAAAATCTGTGGAAGTCCAGAGTAGGAGAAATACAGGGGAAGTTCCCGGGAGTACTGGGGAAACCGTCCAGGAGAAAAACCAGCCCAGATCTATTTTCATGATCTGCTAACATAGACAACAGAAAATAACTATTATTGTATAGTACTCTCACAATGACCAATGCTATGAAAATATGGAACAGCAAAAGATGCTAAAAGCAACACTTTCTAATCGGTTTCCAAGCAACGAAATGAATAACGTTGCCAAGATCCCATAAAACGGAAACGGTGAGCCATAACGGAGAACAATCGCAGGCACGTAGGAAGCAAATATTATTGATTAGTCCTGCCAAAGAGAGGAAACCCCCTCCCCTTCTCCAACTTCACCCCAATGAGTAGTGGTGGCGCCAGATGAGGGTCGAAGTTTCTCTTGACGGTCGATCCAGAGGTGAGAACAATTTTGAAAAAGGTAGATTCAGATAAATGGCACTAGGAGACTGTAGAAGTAGTGTTCTCTACTATTTTCCTATACGGAGGGTCCAGGGTTTTGTTCCTCCTGGTGTTTCCCCATTTTCGAAATATAGACTTTTTAAAAGTCCGTCGTTATTCGGCTTCGTTACTTGTTCTCACTGGTATTTAGGCCTACATTTCAGTAAGTTACATTTTGTTAGGACTTTGTAATGATAATTTTAATTTAGGCCTATATATACACATTTCATGTGTATACCATGATTTGAACAAGTGGAATAAATTGAATTGAATTGAATTTATTGCGAAATGGTAGAAAATATATTGAAGGGATATAATATACCAGTGTTCCTCTGAAATTTCCTACACAATTCAGCCCCACTATGGTTGGGGCTAAGGTGAGGTCATTTTTAAATTAGACAACTCTAGGGAAAATTGCACAGAGACTAAAAAATATTTTTCTCTACTTTTTCCGACGGATGTTCCTGAGTTTTTGTTCCCTCAGATGATCGGATCACTCTGATGTTTTCTAACTTCCGAAGTCAATGCGTTATACAAGATCTTGTTATAGAGTGGGCCCAGACAAGTAACCAAGTTGGATAATGCTATAATTCACTGCAGAAATCATAATTATACTTTAAATGGGGACAAACCTTGTGTGAATACACCGTAGGCCTATTGTGTAATGATAGAAACTCTTCGCATGAAATTTAAATGTTTATTCTTTGGTTAAGAAATACAATACAGGATACGTAAATGAACTATACAGAAGTAATAAAAAATATAGAGTATATACACGAATTGCCGGATATAAAGGCATCTGCATTGACAGCAAAATGTCCTGGGTTCGAATCCTGGTAGGGTCACTTATTTTTTTTCCACACTCACAATTCCTCTTCTTTAACGTTTAAAAATGTATTTATATACACTATATTTACAGCATTACCAAAAGACTATTTAGAGTTTATCTCAATCATATATAAGTTTCTGATATTTCTATGAAGTATAATTATTCTTTGTTACGTGTTTTGTTGCGTTAAAAGAACAATTTGGTCTACAAACGATATCGATTTGTGAAATGTTAAAACCGGACCAGACGGACCACTTTCAGCAGCCTTAAATAAGTAAAATGACAATGAAAAAAAAAATCTCTTCCATTGTTGTTCGACTCTTTTCCAAAACTATGTTGATACAATCACTTGAATCTTCACATTACCAGAAGGCAGTTTATAAAATAGGGCATGTCATTCCATTCTAAACACTTAATAATGAGGCTACATGCTAAAACAAGCCATCCACATACAGAGTAATAACAGAAAGATGGTACATAGTCATCTCTCTGACAAGAAATACCACTACCACGTGACACAGAAACAACCAATCAATGACAACCAATAAGAACCTCTTCATTCATAAATTTATTCATTTTGAACAAATACAGAAATGCTGGTACTGTACTTTATATAAAAACCACGCCCTGCTTGAGTGTCATAGACTAGAACTTCAACAACAATCGACAAAGAAAATGAACACACTTGTCGCCTGAGGGCGATAATACATGGCCTTTTGTCCACAACCTAAACCGACAGATTGTGTTGATCACTTTTGTATTCAAAAGGCAAGTTCGACCCCGTTAATACAATAATTTACAACTGCTATATTTTTGTTATACTTGTATTTCATTGCTTCATCATTGCTCCTAGTTTTACCAGTGAATCAATATAAATTAAATAAATCCATTAATAACAAAGCAGTTTATTTCAACAAAGAAAACATAAATGTAAATGTTCACGAATAAAGGGCGTTTTTTTTTTTGTTTTTTTTAAAAATTAACTTGAGAAAATTGACACATTAACATTATTAGACATTTGGAATGTGTGCTATACCCAGTTACATTATTTGTACCAGGAAATAAACAAATGTAAACACACTAAAGAGATATATTTATATTCACAATGTCACATTTACAATGTTGCTAAATAATAAACCAATAAAACTTCTACAGTGTAACAAAAGAAATTTCAAGGAAGATTACTACATGATGTAGAATATAATCTTGTTCAAATCTTTATAACATATTCATTTAAATAAATGATCACAATAATTTATAGTGTATGTTATTTGGCTGGCTTTAACTCAAAATTGATAATAACATTATTATGCTAGGTTTGAAGTGCCCCCTCACAAGTCATTAAAAAATATCAACTGCCTATTAAAAAATGCAATTTGTGGTTGCAGATGCATTTTGATAGTTCAATGTAAGGTTTGAGCTTGCGAACGATTGGTTCAAATTCAATGTACACTGTTTGTGTCCTTGGGAAAGATACTCTATCAATTTGTCTTTCTCCACCCATGAAATATGAGTTCCTCATAGAAAGCGAAACAGACCTTTGAAACCCAAATGAGGAATTAGAATGTGTTAATCAATAAACAGGACATAGAATGTCCCACAAATATATGTGACTGACTTTAACAAAAATAAGCTCTTCTCTAAAAAAAAAAAAAAAAGAAAAGAAAAATAAATTATTACACCTTTGTAATCTAGAGGTTAAAAGCTAATAATTGATGCAAAAATTGTTAAAAACTGATAACAAATGGCAAAGATATGATTTTAGCTGATTTGAAGACTTTTGTTTTTGATAAGCACCTGGTTTTGCTAGAGTCGGTCACATATATTAATGAATGTTGCTGCACAATGTCATTTTGTGCAACACATTACCAATAATATCCATGAAAGGTATACTTCCTAGCAAGCCCAGTAGTTTGCATATTGGGCAATGTTGTTTATATAACATAGCAAAACAAAAGTACCAAATACCAAATGTGAACACAGAAAGGATTAAACATAAAATTTTCAACAATGAATTCTGAGTTTCTCAGAAAATGAAGGTGCAATGCAGTTCACATGCTTAGTGTTAGGAGATAAGTCATCAAGCTCAAGTAAGGCAAGGGACAACAGCACCAAGTGTGATCCACATTATCAAAAAAAAAACTTAAGGGCTATTCACATGGTCGATTTACAATGTTGACATACATGGATGAATTCACACTGACGTCCTACTCTTATGTGGGACTTCATATTGTTAATGATCATTACTTTGATTCACAATTATTATTTTGTGTTAACACTATTGGGGCTAACGTTGTATTCACATTGCGTTAAGGGCTTAGAGTGGGTTTACACAGTTAATTTTCGATGCTATCCCTATTTCACAAGACCTTGTTTCTTCGCTTCTACCTCATAGATTAGTACCCGCCACATTTTGACGACAAACACTTCAGCTTCTTCATCCAACACCTGAAGAGAAATTAAATTACATGTTCATCCAATCAGTTAACAATATATAATTTGTTATTTTTTATATAATTAATATCATATAAGACTATATTTATAATTATATAATCAAATAATTATTTATGAAAACAATTTATTTGTGGAAAGCGCATAGTGACCTAGTATTATGCGGTATACCAGACTACAACCATTACCATAATTAATTATATAATTAAATAATTATATAATTATAATTGTGTAATGTTTGTATAAATAATTATTACTACAATCCTTACTATCCTTACATATTACTATAATCATATGTAATTATTATTATTACCATTATCATCATCACCATTATTGTTTTTTAGTAACACCAATTTTATCATCAACATCAATGACATTCTAATTGCCTCTGTCTCCATCGTCATCCTGGGCATAGTTGTTGATACCCTCTTCATTTTTGATCAACATCTTCATCATCGTAATTATTTTAATCAGTATTATTATTTGTTGTTATTATTATTATTATTATTATTATTATTATTATTATTATCATTATTATCATTATCATTATAAAATCATCATCATAGTCATTAATTAACAAAAAAATTCATACCATTGTGATGTCTTGCAGAATACTTGAGGCCGGACTGTGTGCCAATAACTTAGTGCAAATAAATTCTGTCAATGTGGGCTCCTCCTCACCAATGTACTCTACTATCTTCTTGTTAATCCAAGGCTTTATTCTCCTCTCCATAAGCGACTACAAGTTAAGCAAACAAAAATATTTAGTGAAAGATCCAAGTTCTTGCGATTTTACATAATAGAAAAACACAGATATTAATGGCAATGTGTATCAAGATTATATTACAGTTTGTTATTGTATAGCACAAAATATTGAAGTCTCTATGTCCCTATGTGCTTACATTACCCAGAGGCAAATTCAAGGGGACACAGCCAGCCCAACTTTTCATCTAGACCCTTTCATCTGTCAAAGTTCCTCCCTGGTTCCTCTCTAATTTAAATTCCCAAATCTACCCCAGTTAATCTGGTCATTGGAAGTAGAATCAACCACACACAATGTCCAACCATCTACATTCTATGGAAAATATTTCTAACAGCCTTATGATCATTGGTTAGAAAGCACAGAAATCTAATGCTATACCACACAATCCTCAGACGTACATTGAAAAAAGATTAGGTGACCAATTTGTGTCAAACCTACACATACTGGAACGTTAATTATTAATATCACAATAATTACCTCATCAACAATAACCCAATCAACTTTATAAGCAAACAGTTCTTCTTTTGATGTCGGAATTTTATCAATGATTGTCTTAATAACTTTTTTCTTGTCTTCAGCTGTCAAAACATTCTTGGTCATCTCGACTGCTTGTTTCTCCTCTTCGGTGTACTCTATCGGGATTAGTTTACGTCTCTTGCGCGAGACCTCTGACCCATCCTCGTCATCCTGATTGAATACCTCAACTAATGACATTTTCTTGTTTTTCTTACTCTGTGTCGGACTACTAGCCCCAACTAAAAACAAATTGCAACATCATTAGACTTCTACTAGAAAAATTCTAAAAAAGTAAATCATTCTAATAATAAACATGAATTTTATAGAAATGATATTTCTCTTTTTATTATGATGATCTCCTCAAAGTATACAACATGACCCAAAACAGAATGACCAAACAGTTAAAATCACATAACATCATACTCTACACTGACATACTGAACGATAAAATCTGAACAACAATCAGCAATTCTTACCCAACTTAAGGCCACCAAATCCAATCTTAGACTGTGTGCGTGTTGGAGCTGGTTCAGATTCCTCGTCTCCAGAGGAGGTTGTATCTTGCTCCATCTTCAATGGTGATGCACTTTCTGGTGTGGCAGAGTCACCGTTATCAGCACTCTATAATGAAGAAGTTTGAACACTTGAACTATTTCCAAATATTAATAACTAAAACAGTCCATTTGAACACTTAGCATGGGCATTGGTAAAATCCAGATAATGAATAAAACAGGAACATATTACACGTATCCTATTTAATTACAGGCCACTTCGGGACAAAGATTTTTATGGTTTTTAGCAGCTTTTGTCTTTAATTATTAGAAAATATTATTATAAAGGTAAAAGGTAGGTGTTCATTTTCAAAAAGGTAGAGTATAATTGGAAGTGGTATTTATAACATAACGTTGTTAGAACAAGCAAAACCGAATTGAAAAAAAAAAGAAATGGCAAAAAAAGATAAGATTTAAGGTTCTCCCTGAAGACCTGATATGATGAAGTTGATGATTATGATGATGATTATGATGGTGATAACAATGGAAAAGATGATGATGATGATTATAATGATACATGAATTAATAAACGTTCACAGTACCAGATCCCAGTGTTACCTGTGATATAGTTTAACAGAATTATCCCAAGAATTATCCACCATGTTAAATATATTAATACAACACATATCTGCCTTTACCTGAACTGGCGCGAACGCTGGTTTCATTCGCACTCTATCCTGCTTGCTTTCATCGGCAGTTGTCGTGGGTGACATCAACACCATGTGGAGCTGTTTCTCTTTGTGCGCATCTCTGTCCTTCTCTAACCGTTCAATTTCCTCGTCCACGTCTTCACGGCCTTCTTCCAGTAATTTCCGCTTTATATCTTCGATTTCTTCCTTTTCACGTTTCCTGTCTTTGATGTCCAAATCCATTTCTTTTTCTCTCTCCTTTCTCCTCCTCTCTAAGGCACTTGCTCTGTAACCAAAATTAGAATTTATAAATTTTTCAAACAAAATCAGCCTTGAGCCTGGCACGGTCATAAGATAAACCTAGATGAAAACCTACAAATACCGTATTTATGTTTGTTGTGATATGTTGCCGGCAGTACAGTCGATTGCATGAGTGGGGGTGCCCTCCAAACCTATACCAACCGATGCAAAAAGCAGACGAGAAATCTCGCAGTTGGCAGAGGCAATAAAAATACTGTCACATTGCCGGCAAACGAGTTTACTCATCCCCTAATATTTTCCCACCAATTTATTACACACCATTTTGATGACATATGACTAGATAAAATTTCAAAAAAGTATGTTTGTATATGTATACTTGTTTTGACACACAGGAAGGAACCTATTGACCAGGTCTTTTAAACCCTAGCCTTTTGGTTTTTTGAAACTGTGGTTTGTGTTTAAGTGGTTTGGTGTAGCCCGGAACAGTTTGATTTCTCAACCTCAAAGTCGGGGATTCAATCCCTTGCTGTGCATTTCACTTGTGTCCGTGGGCAAGGAACTTTATCTGTATTGCTTCTTTCCACCTAGGAGTATAAGTAGGCACCTGGGTAGGGTTAAATGCCAAAATGCGCTGCAACATTATTTAATATTCCCCCAGGGAGCTTAACAATATGCACTATTTAAGTCTACCATTATTATATTCAACTGAAACAGCCAATATAATAGTCTATCCAAATACAGAAATATTATTCATGTTTGTTAATAGACAGGAAAATACATTTTCTTTTAATTACAATTATTATAAAATATTAGATCTACGTTCTTTTTTGATGATTCCAAAAAATTTGTTAAGATACGCAATGCACTTACAAGTACAATTAACATATTCCTAAAGCTGTCATGTCCATACATGTTCATACGCATATATGGAAAATAGGTTGGTTTCTGTGACACACACAATGCATACTGAAATTACTTCTACACTTAATATACATACACGGATGGATCATACACATGATGAAATTAAGTGCTGCGATTGATAGCCGATGGCAAAATCTAATAGAGTGATCTGTTCGTCCTAGTAGATAGTGATTAGTGGCATTGACTGTTCTTCGCCAAGGTAAACAAACTGTAATTATTGTTTTAAAGGGCTCTTAGATGATTCTTTTTCATTTATTGTTTAGCAAATATATTTTTAAAGGACTATCAAATAATTTTGTTTGTCATTTAGCAAAGTGGTGGGTTTGCTGAAAGAAACTAAGTATAGGAGAAAATAAAAATAATTTTTTATTGACAAATAAACAAATGTGAGGTGGCTGAGGTTAAAAAAATTTAAGAGGGCAGATTTTAGCTCTTGCTTGAGACCCTGTCTTGTGGTCAATAAGAAGGCAATATTGTTACATCAAAAAACTATATTATATATCATGGTTTGGAAGTTATTTAATGATTCTGTCACGCAATGTAATAGAAAAAAAAATTTTCCCAAAGAAATTAAAGATTTTGTTGTAAATATATTTATAATTGCAATTATAATATTAATATTTACTGTAATATTTTTGACTTGGAAAATTGTAAAATTTAGCCTCACTGTTTTGCTTTTCCAAATAATTAATATATTAAATTTGTAAACAATTTTTATTTTCGTCAAGAGTCACTGCGCCTTGGAATAGCACGCTCGATAGATGGCGCATTATAAGTGCTGTTTTATCATCATTATTAAATAAATAGTCTTATTGAGAGATTTTAAAGTGGAGATGGGCTTAACAAAAAAAAAATCAACAAATTATTATTAGTTTTAAATTTCAATTTTTTTGTATTGGCAGGGAAGATAACAGACCAATTTTATTTTATACTAATCATTAGTATTATCAGCGGGTAGTGCACTACAAAAGACCGGAAGAAGTGGAAGGAAATGATTTACGAGGCCTCAATCTCCAAATGAGGAGAAGCGAGCGGTAAGGTAAGTAAGGTAAGTGCACTAAAAAAAAAAAACTACCCTCTTCCAGCAACTATTCTAATATGAAGCTTGCTATTCCAAAAACAGCATCAGCGATCACAAAATCAAAATTTACTTTTTCAATGTATTTTAATTGTTCACAATATAAGCTTTAAAATGATATGTCATTTATTGCAATCGACTTACTGCCGAAGTTATGAGTAAAAGTATTACAGTTTCTCAGTACTAAAGTATACAATACTGTCACATTGTTATGCTAACTACTCAGTTTAACATTTAGCGAGAGTACGCTGATTTACCTTTTAATACTGCAAACTAAACTAATTTGCTTCACTATCATTAGCATTCCTAAGTTACCTTTCAATCCTAAGTACTTACCTGTAGTACTTGGGATCATCTCTTTCATCATCGTAGTCCTCTAAAAACTCTTTCAATCGCTTTGCCTCCTTCTCTTGTTCTATTCTTTCATCTGCATGCAGTTCCTTCAGCTTCTCATTTTCTCGCTTTTTCTTCCTCTCTCGTGATTCCCAATTCTTAACACGCTGGAGGATAAACAAAAAAACTTAAATCTAATATTTGTTATAAAATATAATTAATTATATTTGAGGATAAAAAATAACAATATCTCATCTATGTTTATTGGGAACAATGGCAATTAGTCGGCTTATCCAGGCAAGTATATATACGAAATATATATATACGAAATAGACTTCGATATCTTCAGCCAAATGGTACTAGCCATTTTAAATGTTTACCTACAAAAATCTAAACAACTTACTTATTATTATTTATTTGGGCACACAACTCATGCACCATTGATTGTCAAAAGCGATTATATCACCGTCTTACTTGTAGGTGACAATCCCTTGCACAAGACAAACATACAAACACAATGCTTTACACAAACTAAATCTTAATATAAGGTTTAGCGAGTGGAGTTCTTTTGGTTGAAAAAATGCTGCAGCACTGACAGGATTTGAACCCAGGACCCTGGGATTGGAAGGCAAGCATCTTAACCACCAAGCTATTCAACTCCACTCTCAACATCAACAAGAAAGTTCATTAACCCTTTTATTTGAACTTATCCTTGACAATAGTACAATTCAACAGGAAATGGATACAGGTAAATAGGCCATTAAATACATTGCCAGAGTCAATGCCATTTAAGATTACCCAACCTAATATTTCATTACAATTAGTGGTTAAGCAAACATCCGCAGCACATATATCAATTAAGAAAATTACCAAAAGCTTCTGGGGTGTTTTTTACTCCTGGTCATGGAATCCACAAAACTGGCAAACATGCACAGCACTAACCTCAACCGCTCCCTGAGGATAACTCTTTAAACCTCTCCCTGGGGAGTACACATAGTCATCGCTTCAGAACATTACAAGGGAATCAATCCATTTAATGTCCCAGTATCTTACAAGGTTTAAAGATTATACACTTTTGCGAAGTGTGGTTAAAATGTGGTTAAATGTGCTGAAGGCCAACAAGTGAAATGGACAATTTAACAAGCACTGTGCTAAAAAAACTAACCAATAAACTGTATTTTTCTTGGGGTTAATTGGTACACATGTTCCATTTTATCGGTACAAATGTTTCCGCCATTTAGGCTTTAATTACCCTCAGGCACAAGGCTTTGATTAGGAATATTCATTCAAGTTAATAATTAAATAAACTGCAATAAATTCAATAAGTAAAATTGGAATATATATACCTTGCGAAACATAATAATAAAGACTAATATGACATGCAATTATGTTGGAAACAACAGTCCCACATGTTCAAATGATAAATTATTGTGAGCCCTGGTTTTTCTGGATACTCAATGCATTCTTGGTACCTTGTTGTAAAGCTATACTTCAACTAACTACAGTAATATTATCATCACTATCATCATTAAAATAATTTTCATCACTATCATTTGGAATGAGAAATAACTGCAATGGAATTTGGTTGATAAACATAACCACAGAGCTAAAATCTATAGTTAAGGTATCAAATATCTCAATTAAGGTCAAAATAAATAAGCAAAATAATTTTTTTTAAAAATAATGAAATAAAAATATTTGATACTGTACTATTCCAATAAGAACCAATTGAAATCATAATAAGTAGTTTTCCTACTCCCTTGGGATGAAAAATAATGGCAACCTGGTTGGTAAACATAACCATAGGGCTAAAATCTATAGTTAAGGTATCAAATTTCTCAATTAAGACAAAAGAAGAGAGAATAAATAAATAAATAAAACAATATAAAAAAAATAAATAAAAATATTTGATACTATTCCAATAAGAACCAATGGAAATCATACTAAGTAGTTTTCCTACTCCTCTTGGTAAAAAACACATTTTTTCCAAGAAAATCTAACCATAGATTTTTGGGTTTGTCATGCTTGGACAACAAATCCTTTTTAGCCTGACAATGATCATTATACCAAGCTAAACCTCTACAGCATAATTATTTTCATTATACCTCTTGGTAGGCCTCTTCTTTTTCCCTTAGTTTTCTCTCAAATTTCCTCCGTTCATACTCTTCTTCCTCATCATAATCTCTTTCCTTTTCTCTGTCCCTTTCCCGCTCTCGTTCCCGCTCTCGTTCCCTCCTGTAAGTAAAATATAAATTTTTTTTTGTGGAATTAACAGCAGTCCATTACAACGGGAAAAAATGCATCACTAACAAGAAAATGGTCCAAGTTAAATTATTATTACTATATTATTCTTAGTAATTCTGGATTCCACTTAAATGTACCACTCACCACAGGCTGTCACTATAGAAATTCCTTTTTTCCTAATTCTATTCATCCACTTAATACTCATGTTAAAAGATGTTAATTTAAGTGCAATTCTTTTCTATGTAAATGTTGTTATTAGTATGTTTTGTATATATTATATATAGATATTGTAGTGTGATTATATTTTTACTTACTAATTTTGTTTATAATCTATTATTTATTACTGGACTGTGTTCTTTGTACCTTGTTTAATTGTCAGTAGAAAACATTTTCTGATCTTTTTCGGACAATAAAATTATCTTGAATCTATAAGAGGTACGGTATATGCATTTTTTACTAAATTTTAGTTCGAGGTTCTTTTTTTCCAGACCAAATGAAGGATCTTCAAGGACTGGTTTAAAAAGAACAAAAGGGATTGTTGTTATGTCCAACACATAGAAATATAAGGATAAAATCTGACTGTGTATATCTGAACACAGCAACAACTTATACAATACCCAGCCATACCGAGAAAACCCTTACCTTAAATCGCGCTCATCCCTGCTTCGTCCTCTCACTTCCCTTTCTCTTTCTCGTTCCAGCTCTCGATCTCGTTCCCTCTTTCGCTCCTTATCCTTCTTCTCCCTTTCTCGGTCTCGTTCCCGCTCTCGTTCCCGGTCTTTTTCACGCTGACGTTCCCTTTCTCTTTCACGTTCCTTTCTCTCTCGTCTTTCTTTTTCTTTGTCCTTGTTTTCTTCTTTGTCTCTGTCAGCCTGGAAAATGGTTATCAGTAAAAATCAACAGCATTAAATTTACAGTAATTATCCAATGGTTGCACCTGAAACCTTAAAATCGGTTAATTAAACATGGAAGCCAAATTTATATCAAAAGTTCAAAGTTTTGAATTTCTAAATAATAATTATAATTCAAGCTCTGTATTTAGATAAGTTCATCAAATTCGTGGGACAGGGAGAAGGTTAGAACATAATATGCTTGTCTTGATGTTTATCTCCAATTAAGACAAGCATTGTCCAACCCAAATCCCTAAAAAGATACGTAAAATATTTTTTAACCAAATGCATCAATATATTTGTCAGAAGTTTCATCAACAGATGTTTTGCCTTCAATGACTTTTGATCGACAAACATTTCATTGACAATTTTTTTCACTGACAGCTAATTCACGTAAATTCTGTTGAATGGACTTTATCGGAGTGTCAATAAAACTTAACTACTTTATAATCAGAAAAGGGCCAGGATACAAGCGTCATTAACAACCACACGTGTTGTCGCACAAACGCACGTGTTTGCGTATGTTTAGCAACATCATCAATGGGGTGGTGCTTATAGGAATAGTTTACTGCCCTTGATATTTAAGCTTGTTCTTTGGCTGGTTAAATGCCAGCTGGGTGATTAGACTGTCAGGAAAAATCGCCGTCCACCAAAGGTTCTTTTGAAAAATGTAGGCGAGCTGAGATCAGTGAAGCATTCGTTAACCAATTGTCCATTAGGAAAATAGCCGGCAGGCAAAACATGAGTCTGCTTATGAAACTTTCTAGCACCCATGAGAAATTTGTTTCCAAAACACGAAAATTTATCAACATTATTGTTCAATAATTTTGACAAGGATAAATTTAAATCTAATCATTTTATTATTAATCTAAAATTTAAGAAAATGGATTAAAACCAATAATAATAACATGTATGTCATTAAATTAAAAGAAATAAAATATTAAATTGTGTGGATAATTAATAAAATGCAAATTTTCATAAGATATATTTCACTGCTAAACAATTAAAACTGTAGACTCAATGTAAATTCTCACTTACATAAATATGCATAAATTTACATAAATTAGATATATTCATATATCAACAATCTATACAGTATACAGTGCAGCACATTCAAGACTGATATACTTTAACTATCATGAATACTTGTACAGCTGGATTCTTGAACAGCCACTTGACCTTTCACCTCTGATCTGTGACCTCTCACCATCCACTCTATGTCCATACTAACGAGGAATTCTGCCCACTTTGTGTTGGAGAGTGCAAAACATGTCTAAGTTGCTAGACACATTTGAATTTCTAACCACTAATATTGCTGTTTACAAATGATCATGAAAAACGTTAACGCTGAGGAGGAAGGGGTAATTAGTTAAGCTGTGGAATGAGATAATCATTAAAATCAGGGGGGAAAAAAATGGTTATTCATAATTTTTACATCAATACAATTTTCAATAGCATTGAAATCAATGTCATTATTGCATAAATGCATATAATATAAACATTTCATAATCATAAATATTAAAATTGTTGTAATTGTCAGATTAAAATATGTTCCTAAATGAAAAGAGTAGTTATATAAAGTAAAACACCATTTAAGATTTACTGTCTGTATTGAGTTAAGTAACTTGAGTTTAACTTTCAATTGAAAACCAAAATAAGAAAACACTTTCATTACTAAATATCAAATGATTATTGTTATTCTTTGCATATCTATTATTTGGCTGGATAATGACTTCCATAGTAAAAAAATACAGCGCAAACTGAACTATTTTGTAATGTTTTTCAATAAAAGTTGAATTTTGAAGAGTTTATATGATAGACAGTTAATCTTCAATATAAAGCATGATCATCAGTTCACAAATAATGAGGTTTTCACAAAATTCAAAACCAGCTACATAAATGTCAATATATATGTAACAAAGCAACTGGCCTACTAATAAAGTATGCCCTCCAATTTTAAGACCACTCTATGGGACTTGCAAATTTGGGATAGTCTCGGTCTCAAATAGACACATTGCGCTAGGTTGGTCACAGGACGAATAGTGGGTATCAATTGCAAACATGCAGCGCGAGCGAAGCTCGTTAAAGGAAAACGTGTGCATTCTTCAGTGTGTTTGTGCTGTATAGCACATATTTGATGTTGAATAATTGTTGGTAGGAATGCCAGTAACTATACCAAATTGATTGGAAATATAATTTGAGAGTTTTGCCATAATGGCTTGCTAATGGTCCAAGAGATAATAGCCCCAAAAATTGAGATTTTTCGAGAAATGCTAGGCCTAGGCAACGCATGTCTACGGCCTGTTTAGGTATGCTTGAGCATATTCGATCCGCGAACTGCGATTCTGACACTCTACGATTTCTAGGCTAGCTTAGGTTTACGAAGGATCACATACATTCAAAAGCATACAAAGCATATTGAACGTTAGAATAAGTAAATAAAGACTATTTTGAACAATCGTACTGCCTTTTCTTAAGAGTTATTTCTCACGTTAATGGTGGACGAATGTTTTCGGAACCATAACATTACCCTTTCCTATACTTCAACACTGATCACGCTGTAAACTCTCCATAGCAATACCCACTATATGTCACGTGACCGGCTGTAAACAAACAATGCGGAATGTGTCTATTAGAGCATTACATGTTTGTTAAAAGATTGCCAAACGTTGGTAGTTTGGAAAATAGGTCTCAAATTAGAGGGGTCTCCAAATAAGAGGGGTTTCAAATTGGAGAGTGAACTTTATGCCATTAAACTGATTAAATTTAATCTTCTAACTTTTCAATATTTAATAACACTAAGTACACACGCTTACTAAATAACAAAAAAATATAAACCATCTAATCAATTATTGCATACTGTATTCTAATTGGAGAAAAAAAACCCCAAAAAATTCAAAGAAGTATTTTAGCTTTGCCATATGACTCGGTTTTAACAACCTAACGGTAGTTAGAGTCTTGTGTTCGAACCCTGATACATTTGTCTCAAGTAACTATTCACCATCTAGAATAAGGCATCTATAATTAATTAAATGCTTTATATTTTTTAACGAATAAATTCATCTAACAACTCTATACTGTACATATATTATATGCATACATGCAAAATATGTTGTTTTATTTTACTGAATGTTTCTGTACACTAAAACAAAGTCATGCTTACAACATTAAAAATTTTATAAAATGTTCCCTTATGAATCTTTGTTTTCTTTTTTTTCTCCTTTATATATATTTTTGTTATTGAGTATGTTTTGCAAAAATAATGTAAACAATATATTTGATTCTTACATTAGTTGTGTACTAACATAAGTATTAGTGTGTACCTTAATTATGCAATTTAATAAGTTGCTCTATGCTTATGCAATTTCAATTATGAAAGGAATTGACAATTCTTTGAGTTTGTGTGCATATGCCATCATGACAATGCAAATTGTTTTCATTTATGCAAATTGTTTTCATTTATGCAAATTGTTGACATGTATTCCCAATGCACACATTTTTACAATTATGCACATTTGAGTACCAATTATGCAAATTGTTAATATATTTTATACATATGAGATTTTAATTATGAAAATTTATGTCCTTGTCGCAGGTGTGGAATATGCAAATAATGTTAGAAAAACAACAATCAACATGTTATATTTGTTTGTGTTTACACTATTCTACAGTATATGAGATTTAAATCATGCAAATTTATGTTCTTGTGGCAGGTGTGGAATATGCAAATGATGTTAGAAAACAACAATGAAAATGTTATGTTTGTTTATGTTTTTACATTATTCTTCATGAAATTTTTTATTGCATCAATACAAAAATCCTTAATATAATTGTTACTAAGTAAATTAAATACCTTTTAAGCACAATACTATTTATATGAAATCTGGTACTTCTTGATGATACCATCGTTTTTTTTTCTCTCTCTCTCTGGTCCAAGAACTTGCTACAGTACTGTACCTCAGAAAGGAGATAAGCGTTTTCCGTGTTTTCCTTGCTATGGAAGTGAAGGTGGTTAATACTTAACTATAAGTGAACTTAAGCTTCTTACCTTCCATAATCTGTTCCATGTAGCTCCAGAACTGAGTTTTGAATATTGTATGTTTAACAAATTGTGAGGTATTCCCAGTTAAAGATTGATATGGGTAAGCTTTTCCAAGGGTATAATCCCATCTATTAGTAAATTCAGGAAATATTTAACCATTTTGCATAGTCCCAACTCTCTAATCTTGGAGATTTTAAATGAAAATTTTTACATGTGTGCTACATATGAGGTAGAATGAACCAAATTCAAAATAAAATGCAAATTAAATTATTTTAATTGAAATATTTTAAGCTGACAATAAGAACAATTTGTAATTGAATGGAAACCAACCAAAATTTTACCCTCAACAATAAGCTCATCTGCATAGAAATCTTATTGCAGTATTACATATTTAAGCTTTAATTATATAACTTTTTTTACATTTTGTTATATTTTATTTTGAATAGCTTTTAAAATACTTTTTTTTTTAATGATTCAGAGATGGGGGAAAGAATAATGGAGTAGGGTGTGGGGGGGGGGGGGGGTGGTGAAACAAAGGATGACTACCAGGGAAGATAGGCAAATATTAAAAGATACACACATACCTGACTTATCTTGAACCAAGTTATTTTTGAGGCAAAGTTTTTAATTTTAACTTACCAAAGCACAAAACGCATTTTGATGGCTGTTGGGGATGGAATGAATTTCCAACGGCATGTGTAGCCACGGGATGTTGTGGCGTCCATCTGGTGTTCATCATTGTAACACCTAGCATTTTATACACACGGAGTACAAGTCATATTAAAATTTGCTCGAAAAAGACAGCTAAACAACACACACACACACCTACCAAACCAAGCAATCACATTCTCTATGGAATAATAAATATTGGGAGGGGTAGGGGGGTTTATAACGGGCGAACTGAATCTTGACAAGACATGCAGGTGGTGAGTAGACCTTTCAAAATTTCAAAACCCAGGATATGACAGTTTTGTCAACATACCAAAAACAAAAAACATCTTTTTTTTTTGGGGGGGTGGGGGAGGGAATGTGGTAAAATCCAATTGTACACATCGTTGTACTGTACCTAGGGGTCTGGACCACCACCACCTTAAATTTGACCAGGCTTCTTAATTAGTGGAAGAGGAAGGTTTATATTCCTTTATTATATTTTGGTCTAAAAGATTGCAGAAAGAAGAATAGTATATAAAGCACCTGTTGGAATTTTCAAAAAAAAAAAAAAAGCAAAATTAAAGAAAAAGTAAATAATGCTATTACCATTAGGAAATTAAGGAAATTCATACTTACTTTGTAGGTATCGCGGAACCTGTCTATTTCACGAAATATCAGGTTCTTTTTGTCTTCTTCAAGTTCCATATCATCTACGCTTTCCTGAAAGAGCAATAGATTCAGATATCATGTATTGTCAAGGGCAAGTCATATGAAATACATTACAAACTTGGAATTGGAAAAAAGTACATATTGGATTGGAGTTGAATAGCTTGGTGGTTAAGATGCTTGCCGCCCAATACCAGAGTTCAACTCCAGTGATCGCAGGATTTGCTCTTATGACTAAAACAACTCCACTCCTATAAAGTCCTATAAAGACATAATTTAATTAAATGAACATTTAATGTTCCTTATCATTGATTTCCTCATTTGATGAATATACTGTCAAGGTTTTCTTAACCTTTCGGCTGTATTAACTGCAGGCATATTGACAATGCAAAACATGAAGCCACAAAGAGCTTCATAAAGTTTTAGTGACTGGTGTTTTATATTTATTAGTTGACCCCATTGGAGAGAAAGATGATCATTTCTCCAAGGAACACTGCTTTGAGAAAGCATTTTATACAGCCTTACAGTGCCCATTCCAAGAATATGAGGTGCCTTTTCTAAAAATTTGCACTCCTCACCACCAACCATGGTACTGTAGAGCTGGGTGCAGACCACTTTCGAGGACCTTGGCCCCCATGTCGAAGAATCTTTGTCGCTGCCACTGCATCATGAAAACTTTACAGAAGGCCAAGAGAGCCATGGTTGAGAATTGTGAATTGAGTAGGCAGTAAAAATGCAGTGGTTTGAATTTAAAGACATGGCTTAGAACAGAGGGATGTCAACTCAACAAGAACTTATATATCTATCTATAGGCAATACTGATGATGACTATGACATAGATTTATATTAACTACCCTTACCTTGCCTGTTGAGGGCGGCTTGGTGGTCTTGCAATATGAGGTTAATCTGTTCCTGTATCGCACGGTCTACTTTTTTCGCGTGGTCATCTAATCCTTCGTCGTCTATCAATCCTTCCTCCTCCTCTGCTTCACCATCCTACAGTCAATCAAAATTGAAATCAATCAATCAAGATAAATTTTAAAGAACTTTTCAATTGAATGAAATTAATAATAATTTTGACAAAATGTTAAAACTAACCTCTTTGCTTTCAGATTTCTTCTTGTCAGCGAGGTATTCGTCAAGGAGTGTCCTTGTTTTAGCATCAACTTTGACCTACCAAAACAAATTAAATCATAATCATTATGACATCATCATAGATCGGCATCGAGAAAAAAAATTAAATCAGAAAGTTGAACAAAATATCCGAAAGGTCTGTCAAGGTAGAAACCAATACAAATTTAAAAAAATAATTATCATTGTTATCAATTTCTTAATTTTTATTAAATAAAAACTGGTAGTACTATTTATTATATAACTATAATTACTTATTTTATATTATTTTCTAAATTAATAATAAAAAAAGACAGGAAAAGATATCCGCAGTAGGCCTAGGCACCAAGTCCTTGCATAATAAATACATTTTCCTCCTTTCTGTCAACTGGGGACATGCGACAGCTGCAGTGCAGTACCGTCATGTAACGCATACATTGTCCCTTATCCCGTCTAACTCTCATGCGAAGAGCAGAGCAAAGAGCGATTTGAAGCTAATTAAAACCTGACACAGACTTGGATTGAACCAGGGTCCTCAGCGCAAAAAGCAGCAACCTCTCGGCCAACCACTCAGTTCAATGCAACACTAGAAATTTCATTACTACTGATTTTGAGAAAAAAATGTACGATACAGTATTTCAAATAAGCCTTCGGGGAATATTAAGCTTTTACAGACAACACATTAAATAAAATTAAAAATAAAAACAAACATGCATTTTTTATGATTCATTTTGTACTTACAACTAACTTTTTCTCTGCGAGTTTCAGATCGTGCAGGACACGCATGGCCCGTAAGCCTGCCTCAGGATCGGCATATTCGCAGAATCCAAAAGCCTGCAACTTTCCAGATGCGCCTTGCACACGCTTCCAATTTAAAACAGGGCCACATTTCTAACAGAAAACAATGTTTTAATAAGTGAAATCATAATAATAAATTTAACATTTTCTCAGCCATTAAATTCTCGTACAATTCAATTACCATATTTCCTCTGTTATAAGCATACCATTTTTCAATGCAAAACTGGGCCGAATTTGGTGTTGGGGGGGGGGGATGTGTATAAGAGACAGGGCTTATACTTCTGTAATCACAAGTTTCCCAGCAATATCTAACTCATTTTTTGAGAGTATTTTAAAAGTGAGAAAGCTACTCAGTCAAATACCTTGGGCTTTTGACCAAAGTCTGGTATGTAATATTGGGCGTAAAGTAGGGACGGGCTTACGCTTGAGGTTTTCTTATTATAACCGAAGAATGACGGTACACAAAACAGCAGCACATTGGCTCGCAGTAATGTTTGCATCACAATATACAACATAATCAGATTTGAGTAAAATGACATTTAAAGGTAAGCCAGAAACTCACTGCGGCCAACGGCAATAACAACTATTCAAACAATGCTGTAAAATACAAAAACCCCTGAAATAGATAGTTTGTTGTTTTCTTGAATGTAATCAACTTCATTACCTGTAAAAGCTGTTTTATCATCCCATCAGGTGCTTTCTCAGATATATTTCCTACAAACACTGTAATCTTGAGTTTTGGTTGTAAACTAGATTTCTGATCCTGTAATACATAAAGTGAAGAGGTATCAATAAATATGAAAAAAAATAAAATAAAAAAAATAAACACAATCCATTCATAAACAGACTGTTCATAAATTTCTAGAATAAAAAGTTTAAACTGGCTACAGTATAGTCTTCTTTATTATTTCTAATGCAAAAAGGAGTCCAAATGGATTAAACTTTCTCTCCAGGTCATTGATCTTTCAAAGATTACAGTAGCAGAGATTCCAAATGATAACATCACTGGAACATCGTGATGTGTGTACGTAATTTTTTACACTGTCATTTTTTGGGACCTTAGCAACAATATCCAAGGGGCGGGGCTTAGCGAAAAGGTCAACAAGAGTTCACATTATAAACTGATCAATTGAAAATAGTATATGCCAAAGTGTTATCTATTCCATACCATTGCTATAGTGCTTGATGCAGTAACCTGCGTCATGGCTGGTCTGGGCGGCATTGTTGGCATCATCCCTGGATGCTGTAAGTAAAACATACACAAAATATTACTAAATGTGTGATCTGCCCTTATTTGGGTGTGATTTGCCTTCATATGGGTGTGATTTGCCCTTATATGGGTTTGATTTGCCCTTATATGGAATTGATATGACATCATCATAACCATATACAGTTAAATTTGGCATGCACTAGAAATTGACAGTGGGGAGAAAGAGTTTACTTACCATAGGTCTGCCTTGCATCATTCCTACTGTCATCATTCTCATTGGTCCAACTGGTTGCCCTGGGAAGAAAAAAATCACATTGTTTAAAAATAGAACACGGTCTGTCTAAGGACTTAGAAAGTATATAAAAAAAATAATAATAAAACTGACTGATCGACCATGATAAATACAAATGCCACTGTGTTTGGGCAACAAAACAGATTCTTGGCCTTACCTGGCATTCTGGGGAAAGTGCCAAATGTTGGTGGTCTTGGTTGCAAATTTGGTGGCATTTGGGGCACCTGAAGAGGTCGCCCAGGAGGATAGGACATTGTGAGTATAACCAGCTAGAATCCTAAAAATGATGGTACATAAAAATAATCATAATGATAATAGCATTACAACATTATTTATAATAATTGCAAAGTCTCACCACAAAATAAAATGCATCGTTGGTGAGATAATGTTAATAATATTATGAGCTTATAC